AAGTCTAGTTAAAGGACAAATTGCTTATATTTACAATCATCACAATCATCCACCTAAAACACTAATGAAAACGAAGGACGGAACGTTAGTTCGACTTTAAAAAAATAATTCAATGTACTATTTTTAGGGTTCCGCTCAAGGAACCCTTGTAACTAGTTCTGACTAAGTTAATATTATGTCACAGCACGTCTTAACTGCTATTAGTTTTCGCTGAACATTTCTTGTTTCGGTAAATATTTTAAAATATTTACCGTAACAAGAAATGTTGCGCTCAATCAATAAAATTTTTAGTAAAGCCCGATTTTAAAAAAGAAACCTTTTTACTTTATTATATTACGTGATGGGTGAATATTTCAAAACGTACATTTTTGATGTCTCGCTGTGAATAACACATTAAAACTAAATCGATTTTGATCACTTTTTTATATACATAGTTAATTAAGTGGGGTACATATTGCAGATCAATTTATTGTGTTTTATAAGCTATAAGCCATTTTATAAAAAAAATCTTCCCAAAACCTCATTACCATTCGTGTCGCTTTTCCCAATTTTCAACCATTATGATAAGAAAAATTAAACGAAACCTTCGAAGAATAACATTTTTTCTTATTATTTAGTAAATATAATAGTTAATGTATAAACTGAAATAAAATATATGACATAAAGAACAGTTTCAGTTCATTTTATACCAATTCCAAAATTGTCCCACCCTTCGTACTACTTACCGTTCGTGAATACTGACATTGAAATAGAATTGTACCCAATGGTAAATGTAATCCTCACGACGACTCCCCACCACGACCTCAGTGCCCGCTAGTGACTTGAGCAGATCACACGTCTTTAAGAGCGATTTGGCGCCAACGAAAAATTAATAATCTACAAAAAAATCGTCCAGGTCAAAATAAAATCTCCTTACCGTTCGTGTCTTCTAAAGGTAAGTTATTTGTTCAGATTAATTTAATTAATGATCTAAATATTTGCTAAGATTATTTCCCGTCTAATAACGTATTTAGTCTCATAAGTCTAATAAATAATGCAACGTACACAAATGTTTCCAAATATCTACTTATCATTTTACTATTTACCATTTTTCCCGTTGACATTTTACCCGAATGGTAAGGAGCAAGCTGGAATGGTAAGTAGGTATTTTTTCTATTTAAATGTAATATTGTTTCAATACATGCTATATTTAAACTGCCGTGTAAATTACTAAACCACTACAAATTTCAGATTCAAGAAAAGCGCAAAATAGCACTTTCTACGCTTTTTTCTGTCACTGTCAATCTTCTCTTACAGTAGTGGTTTGATATTTGTACAGCGGTATTAAATATTTATTATCTCTATCGTCGCTTTTTTGGTTTATATCTACACTTATTCAATAAATAGGTATAGGTATGAGCTGTTAGCTCCAAAACCGTAATCCACACAGACTGGTCAATGCTATTTGGTGCATGTCACATGTCCTTGAATGATTACTTCTAGGATACGCTGGTTACCTCACGATGTTTTTCTGAGGCGTTATGGAGCAATGGTAACGATAAAATGTCCACAAAAGACGTACGTCGGGTGGAGTTCAAATCTTTAACTTACAAATTGTAAGTCTGAAGCCGTAATCACTGGGCTACCAGTGCTCTCATTGCGGATTACGGCCTAATACATCCTAACTCTTAAAATAGTTGAGAAGAGACCCATGGGATAGTAATGGATAGTAATAATAATGATGTGCTCCAAAACCATTAGACCTAAATATATGTTACACCACATTTCTTTAATATTTAGTGAATCATTAGCTGTGGGATATATCCTTACCATATTTTTAGCATGGAAGTAATTTAATAAAATGAGATACAGTAGCACTTATAGGAAACCTATAGGATCTATTCCACAGGATATCAATTTATATTTCAGATGAAACGCCGCGGAAAAAGCAGTCACACGAAGAGGCATTGGAAAAAGCCCGACTTGCACGGCGAAACAGATATGCAAAAATAAAAGCAGATCCGACTTTATATGCCTTAGAGAGAGAGAAGGAAAAGAAGAGATACATAAAAAGAAAAGAGGAAAAGAAAATATTAAGGGCTTCTGAATTGACCCCAAGAGCTAGAAACATACAGAGAAAGAAATGGAGAGAAAATTTCAGAAGACACTACCAGAGAAAACTCTTAGAATAGAAAAGAACAGAAGAAGTTTTTATACTAGTTTCCACGAATGTGGGCAATGTCGATGATAAAAACAGTTATGAACTTATAAACTCGTTTAACACACCACAACCTTCTACATCACTAGATGTAGACCACAAAGAATCAGTAACCCAAAATTTGAAGAAAAAAATTAGAACTTTGAAGAAATATATGGCGAATAAGGCACAAAAAGATAAAATAGAAATAGAGTTTCGAAGAAAAAAAATAACAAGTACAAAAAAAATAGTTGTGAGACTTAGGAAACGCTTACAGAGTCCTAACACAAAAGCAAAAGCTCTACTGCAGGATAAAACAAAAATAAACTCAGCGGCACAATTAACCGCCCACCTTGATTTTTTACGATTTTGGTTAAAAAAAAATTGTGGCCTTACTTGTGAATGTTATTTTATAACGTAGGTATATTGAAGTAAAATGAAAGATAATATTGTTTTTAATTATTACGTTTATTTATAAAAAAGTCTGAAAAACACTTTGACCGTAAATTAACAAATGTGATGAAATGGCTTAAAAATAAAAAATCTGCTGAATAAATGAATTCTAATAGTGCGTATTTCCACCTCTAGCCCTCATGACTTTCATCAAACGGTTTGGCATGCTGTCGATGACATCTTTGATCTGTTGTTGTGGAATGTTCTGCCACTCCTCAATCACGGATTGTTTTAATTCATCTATGGTGGTTGGAGCTGGTATGCGGCTTCGAACACGTCTTTTTAAATTGTCCCATATGTGTTCAATAGGATGTAAATCTGGGCTCTGGGATGGCCATGTTAATTTTCGAATGCCGACGGTATCCAGGTACGCGGTAACAACTCTAGCAACGTGGGGGCGAGCGTTGTCCTGCATTAATAAAAAATCTTCGCCAATAAATGGAGCAAATGGCATTACATTAGGTTCCAATACTTCTGTTACATACCTCTGAGCATTTATTCCACCTCTTTCGAAGATAACCAAGTCGGTGCGTGCTTCGTAAGTAATGCCGCCCCATATCATGATAGAGCCACCTTGGTAACCTACTGTTTCCACAACAGTGCATGGTGCAAACCTTTCATTCTTGCGTCTGTATACACGCTGGCGACTGTCAGGACCGTACAAGCATATTCTTGTCTCGTCAGTAAACATAACATTCTTCCATTGTTCCACATTCCATTCGGCGTGCTCTCGGGAAAAACGAAGTCTTTCTCTCCGGTGGCCTACGAGCAATTGTGGCACTCGAGATGGTCGAAAAGCTCCAAGGGCATTCTCTCCTAGTCTTCTTCTCACTGTTCTTTCACTCACTTGAACATTGCGAACCTCACGAAGTTGGTTTCGTGCCTCAACAGCTGTAGTGAACCGATTTCTTAGAACATTGGTCACAAGAAATCGGTCGTCACGAGCGGAGGTGCATCTTTTTCGGCCCTGTCCTGGTCTTCGCTCATAAGAGCCAATTTCCCGAAACCGTTTCACTGCATCCCTTAAGGTGGTACGTGCGACACCAAGCTTCCGAGCCACGTAACGCTGACTAAACCCTTCGTCGATAAGAGCGACGGCTCTCGCCACTGAATTACCATCAAATGGCATGTTTGTGATGTCCAAACACTAGCTTTAAGTTACGAAACCAAAACAAACTCAAATTGTTTACTTTTAATGCCACTGAAGCAATGTAAGCAGTATGGCAACGCTAACGATAATGAGACGAAGTTCGATATTTGTCCTATTCACAACTTATGCGTAAAAAAACAAAGTTAAGTGGGTAGCTTGTAATTTTTTCGTCACTACATTTCTTTCACACTTTACTTATTTATGCCCAATAACTTACAACTGCGATAACATCAAAATTTGCCACTTTAAAAGGGTGGGCGGTTAATTGTGCCGCTAAGTGTAGAAGAAGCGAAAAAAATATTTTGTTTGGGGAGGCTATGAAAAAGACATTAGAAGGCAGTTACAAAATTGAATTGAATTCATTTAAATTATGTTTTATTTAATAAAACTTAATTTACAGTTATTAATATTTTTCATATAAACTTAACTTTAATTTGATAGATGTGACTGGTCTTTTAAATGCAAATGAGATCTCAATTATCATCTAGTGATAATGTTTATTCAACCACACGTGCAAGCATATCTTTTCTAAATTTGATACTGTGTCGGAAGTTGTTTTTTTTTTTTAAATAATTGAATAAATAACAACACTGCAATTTGTGTTTTACTAATTACCATTCTAAAATTCTCTTTACCATTTGTTTAATTTCTCATTACCGTTTGCACAATAATTTCAGATCCAAATTGTGACGTAAATAAAGGCTTAATTTTTGGTCTCACGCATGTTTTTGTATGTGTATGCTATCATCTTTGCTTTGAATATCTAAAGAACAGTTTTGTAAGTACTATTTTTTCATTCTTTAAAATCGTCTAATATGTTCATTTGCAAATATTCACCCTGATACCGGAAGAAATGAAATAAAAACTAGTTTTATAGTACAATTATTCTCATTTATAAATTGTTTAAAAACATTCTATAAATACCTTAATTGAAAGAAGTGGAGTTTTTAAAAATTAATGTATTATTTTTTTAATATACTAGGTTTTTTTTCGTAGTCTTACATTGTCATCAGATTCTGAGCTATATTCAAAATTTCAAGTCTCTGGCTCATCGATAACTTAGTATAAAATCAATTACTAAATTCGACTCGAATAAATATACTTTAAAACGAGTTAATAAAAACGTGTTAAATAATATATTGTACCTTATTTATAACTACCTCTCACAACTTTTTCTTTTGGCACTTACTAATATATTTAAAAAATATTTTAGATGATCTGATGTTTATTACACTCTTCGGGAACAAAAGGTTGCTGATGGCCAACGGGTACTCGTTCGCACAGACCACTCCAAGGCATTGGTACTGCTCGAAGAAGGCCAAGATGTGTAAGGCGAGGGTATTCCTAAGCGCTGACGAGTCAAGGGTTGTGTTCCGGGACTATAACCACAACCACGATCCGCCTGTGTACGAGCGAACTACAAAAGGATATTATGTTAAAATATCTGGGTAAATTAGTATAATTAGCATTGTATAAATATTTTGTGTAACAATGATCGTACCTACAATTTGTAGCATAAAGGTGTAATAATACCATTACTTACTATTTTAAAACGGCCTGTTGTACTGTGGTCCGTAAGGCTCGTAATATGAAATTGCTCTGAACATATTAGGCGCGGCAAAGACGGCATTTTACTGTGCTCACTAGATCAACAACGTATTAAGGCAATAGGTTACTAATAACATATTACCTCAATAGTTCAGTCACCGTATTATCGCCGTTCATATGTCTTCGGCGCCATGATGCCTTTTCTATTGTTTGAAACATCGTTTGTAAGAATGTGTCAGAAGCTAAAAGTGTTTTGTTATTGTAATAATTATATACCTAATATGGTGGTTATTATAAAATTATCAGTGAGAACCGGAATACAGCAGCGTAGGCACTGCTATTGTTAGAAAAGGAGTTTTATCACGTACTAAAAACATAAACATAAACACTCACGCCTGTCACCCAGAGGGGTAGGCAGAGATTATGGACTTCCATTTGGCACGATCCTGACACACCTCTCTCGCTTCCTCCACCTACGCATACACGCTCGTCGGTTAAAGGTACTCTTGATTTGGCCCATTTTTAATATATCGTCAATTTGGTCGATAAACTTTCGCCTAGGGCGACCCTTCCCGGCTATGCCGTTCACCTCTGCAACATAAATTTGCCAGCAGTAGATAAGATCTCATTCCCCTGCTCCATCGAATACTCGGGCAGTTTTCCATACCTGACCTGTGGATAAAAGAAAATAGTGGACACATTTGGCTAGAAGATACATCACACCAGGCCCGGTAACCGTCGGGCAGCTCAGAAATTACCCAGGTGAGTGTTTGCCAGGTCTTATATGTACATAACACTACTGATTTCTTATATTTACGCGAACACTACACATTTAAATAAAACTAGGTTTTACGGATTTTATGGCGTATCTTAACTTTATTTATATTCGCGATGTTTCGAGCACTAATAAATAATAACTTACTATTCTAATTAACTTATTTGTAAGGAGGTAAGAAGGAAGACAAAGTAAGTGTTATTCTTCTCCTTTTTTTCATCAATATGTAAAAGTCTACGGCTGGACATGGGTATATGTTATACGCGATATGATAATGTGGTAATACCGCCATCTTTTGGAAGTCATAAGATTTTTCTGGCATTTTCAATGGTTCCTTAGGGAACGCACGGAACGATATGGATGACGGATACTTTATTTAAATGATATATATATATATATATATATATATATATATATATATATATATATATATATATATATATATATATATGCTATCGACGACATAATTTTTTATATTGTTATTCAGAAAATTTAATGCTTCATATTGTGTTATGAAATATTTAAATGAGAAATAGAATTAATGTCAAACTAAGAATATTGTGCTATTTACTATAGATTAAACAGATTTAAATTTATTTTTGTGATTGGGCAAAGGATATCTATATATTAATACGTGAAGAGCAATTTGTACCGCTTTCTAAGCATGTTGCGCGCACGGAGGATTGTGAGATTTTGCATATAAGTAGTTGTAGTTTAGTACAGAAAGCTAAAATTTGTATACCTATAATATGTGTTATAAATACATAAAATAAAATAAAACATTCATTGTTTACGTTCAAACCGCCAATGTTCTTCTTCTTTTAAATAGTGGCTTCTCTTGATAAAACTCTGCCGGTGTCAAACCAGTCATGGGTGTGACAAGTAAATAATTATTAGGTATATTAATAAAATCTGTTAGAAAAATTTACTTCGCAAATATCCGCGTTATTAAATAAAATGATGTGTCTTACCTAGTATGAAGAGCACCTCCCGCCCTCCCTCAACTGCGTGCACCATCCCCGCCACCACTAATCCCAGCACCGATACTCCCAACACCACTACACTAAGTAAGACACACCACTGACGATAATACAATAATACAGTGTCTTGCCTAGTGTAGTGGTGTTGGGAGTAGCGGTGCTGGGATTAGTGGTGGCGGGGATGGTGCACGCAGTTGAGGGAGGGCGGGATGTGCTCTTCATACCAGGTAAGACACATCATTTTATTTAATAATGCGGATATTTGCGAAGTAAATTTTTCTAACAGCTTTTATATAATGGATTTCCGCAAAGTAACGCCTGATTCTATTAATTATATTATATTAATATTAAGAGTTCTCAATTTTACGAGTGGACACACAATCTACAACAAAGACGTCACTTTTAAATACCGTCACCCAAATTGATTAGTAATTTTACAGTTTAATATTATTACTACGAATAAAATCAAATAAAATATTTACCCTAAGGGCAGCAAACATTGTACATTTCCAGGACGCGCGATGTATTGGGCAGCATATCATAGAGAGAGTGAGAAAGATTAGGATACTCAAAGAACAGATGATTGACAGGCCCTTTGTCTAGCCCACATTCACAGATTGAGCTATCCCTAACCCTGAGTTTAGCCAAGTGTACTGGAGTACAAGCGTAACAAAGTGTAGGCGACAAACAGTAGAGGTGGTTGATGGCTTTACTAAAGTTGCGATATTGAAAAAACAGGGTTTTGTTGGGATATTAATTTGGGCTTCAGAGCAGTGTATGCATACACTGTTCATAGCCCATGGTTGTTAATAGTTGAGACTGATGCCAATTACTTTGCCATGAAGACAGAAGGCTTGAGCCTACCTTTGGCAGGAGGTCATATGCATAGAGACATTGATGCAAGTAATTTGAAAGTAAAGACTTTATAAATGAGTTGGAGGGTGACTCGAACTTTAAGCCTAGTCCGTTTGAATAGTCTATCATGTAGAGTATGTCATGGGGGTCATGGTTAAATAGGGGCAAAAAGTTCACACTACACTCCTACGGAGTCAAAATGGCCAAAAACCAAAAAATTTAAAATTCTTATTTCGGCTATAACTGCGGCTTCGGAGTTTCTTACACAGTCTTTACTTCCCCCATCCCACTTTTTTTATAGAATAAGCCAGTGGCCACTGTCAATGTTAAATGCTTCTTCTATCGTTAGTTTACGTTAATAGTGCCAATATCAAATTTTAGACGTGTCAAACACGTAATTGTCTGTGGTCAAACAATCGTACAGAGAAAAGAGTATATTCTAATTACTACGTTTTCGTTTACGATCATGTAACTTCTAAACGTCTTCACCGTTTTAGGTCATATTCACACAATATATTTATTTTGTCAAGACGATAAATCTGTGCTAGGATCCTATAGGTGGCAATGTAGGCAGCTTATAACCAAACACTATATTTATGGACCAAGACAGAACAAAATGACTCGAATTCACAATGCATTTTGGTTTAGTGCGATAAACAAAACCGATAGGTGGCGCTGAGTTCAAGGTATTTATAAATTTTATATTTACACTGACGAAAGTCCGAAATGAATTCAGAGTGAAACATTTCGCCACCTACTAGGGAGAGGGGGGGAACCAATTTTTGCCAAGTGAGCTAATATAACAATCACAGCCTATCAAACGTCCTCTGCTGAGCATAGAAGGCCTCCTCCATAGATTGCCACATAGGATAAATCCCAAAGTTGCCACGCATGGCAAGTTGGTTAGAAACTGCAGTTTTTTTTATTTAGATGTTACGCGGGAAATGCTGCTGCCAATCTCCTAGTTCAGTTTCCCTCTGCCTCCTCTTACGACACCTACGGGTGAAATCGATTTTCTTACACCATCACTACTCCGGTAGTATATAATTCATAAATTTCATTTAAGCAAACTATGCTATTATGCGTGCGATTTATATTTTGTAAAGTTTTAAATTCTTTTAGTTATTTGTGAAAGTATTGTCTTTACTCTTGACTATAGGGTGAAAAAATATATTCATATCACGCCTTTTTAATCTTTTTTGTGTTTAAAAGTGGAAAACATTCGAATTACACACACACACACACACACACACATTTTGATTTTAATTGCAATCAATTTAGACACAGCTGGACTGAACTGCCATGTAGTAAAGTAAAGTAACCCCCATATATACTTTATCTTTGGCCGCTTTCTGAGAGTTTTTCGTTGTGTATAAGTCCTATAAGTATTCTTTCCGGACAGATTTCAGACAAAACCGTGAATGAAGGAGTTTTTGAGGAGCAAAAGAAATTAAAAATGTTTCTAAAATTCATTTGTGAATTTGATCATCATTTCAAAATTGGTAATATAATAAATGGGCGGCGGTAGTCGGGTACCATCAAGTGAGCCGCGTGCTCGTTTGCCCAATCTGCTAAGAAATATATGTATCCTTCGTTATATTGTATTATAAAAATAATGAGAAAAGTCTGAAAAAATTATGAATATACTCGTAATCCATTAAATGACTTTCAATAAGAATTACACATGTAATGTATATTGAATAAAAAATATTCTATTCTATTCTATTCTATTCTATCCAATAAATATATGAGAATTTTTCATCTTAAAGATTTAAAAAAAAAATCGTTAAATTGCCTGTCAGCCATTACCATTAAAAGGCTCGTCTGAATAATATTTAAAAAAAAACAATAATCGATTTTAAGATATAGGGAGTTAAATAAATGAGCAAAAATTATGTGCAATGAAAAATTCTACTAATACTTTGTTTTGAATAAGGTAATTAGGTGAGGTTCAATCGATACAGAACCATCATTGTGCATGCATCGATTTGATTTTTTTTTAATACCTCATCACTCATCATTACATTAAAATAATGATTTAGTACAATATCTCACTAGCACAATGCTTTTTCAGATTACGTATTAATTCCGTCAGGATTTAAGAAGAACCTGCTGATGCTAGGTGGGTTCACATTCTCTGAAAGTGGATCGAAAAATCTCTGGTATTGCTCACAGAAGAAAATGGGATGCAAAGCCAGAATAAAATTACACGATGATGGAAGCATTTTGAATTCTCTTCTGACACATGATCATGATCCACCAAAGGTTCACGTCACTAGTTCTGGTAAATACGTTTTAATACGAGGCATAAAGAAATAAAAAGTAAAATAATATGTCGCACTTCTGAGGTTCTGAGCCACTCAGAGATAGAGATAGAGATAGAGATAGAGATAGAGATAGAGAGAGAGAGAGAGAGAGAGTTTCAGGGCACGAAAGGACTTCATACTTCACTTAAACGGATTTACCCATAAGGGTTGCACTCATTTCGTATCTACTAATCACTTTGTAATTAAAATGCAAACCTATTTGATTTTAGACATGGTAGTAATATAAAATTATTTAATTGAAAAAAAAATCCTTTTATTGTAAAATAAATTATCTTAAGAAAACAACAAGTTTTTTTCATAGTTTTTATTGAATAAGGGTTTGCCGCTACTAAATAATAAAAGCAAAGAGCAACATACATATGTTTTTTTTTTGTCTTAGTTTAAAGATTTTTTTCTTTATCAATTTCAAACATTATTCAAAGATAATATAAGTATTTAGAATAGATGAAGGATTGGGAAGCATATTTAGAATAAGTTAAAACGATTTAACGCGATCCTATCCAAGTAAATGACAGCTCAGTAGATCAGTATGCTAAAGTGATAATAGGTTGGCTATACAGGGGTATTTTGCAATAACCGGTCAAATTTGCAAAATGCGTGGTAACGCTTTATTTTAACTGATTTTCTGCCGACTTCCAAAAAGGAGCCGGTACTCAATTCGACTGTATGTTTTTTTTTTCGTTTTTTTTTTCGTTTTTTTTTTATGTGTGTTACCTCAGAACTTTTTTCTGGGTGAACCGATTTCGATGATTCTTTTTTTATTTGAAAGCTGGTACTTCTCGTGTGGTCCCATATGAATTTGATCAAGGTCAGACCAATAGTTTTTAAGTTATTCTTAAATAACTTATATTGAAGTCGGCTGTACAAAATTTTTAATTTTAAATTATACTGCGCACGCACACATTCGTAAGCGTCGTTCGGTAGACAAAAACGTTGTTGCCCATAAATCACATTCCATTTGGGGTAATTTCAAATAAAATTAGGAACCTTATTCGTATTTTCAATAACTCAGTAATGGTATATCATTATTTATGTATTTGAACTTAAGTTTAAAATTTGGCTACTCTTTGAAAAATAACCCTGTATAGCCTTTCTAATTACTAACAACTATTTGGGTAGAAATGTTTTTTGCGTCACACTTTCCTACTGGCAAGTGCAGGGTAGTGCGACCCCTACTAAACGCAGTGGCGATCTGATGAAACAATCAAGAGGTCGATGGGTGCAGAGGACTTAGGCTTTGTGCCAATCTTCGAGGGAGGCCTGTAATCAGCTGTGAATAATGAAGATTATGAAGATGCGAGCAAAATTTACTGAACACACCACTAACTGAATAGTTCAGTAGTAACTGAATAGTAGTAGCAAGTACTGCCACTAGAACAATACGGTCTTCAATATATTATATATTATAATCTGCAAATAAAAAAAAATGTTTTTACCAAATGAAATCTGTTTTGTCACTATTGTCTCTGATTAATCAAAATTTAGAAGCCGTGGTAGCTCAGATGGTTAGCGCTCGCTGTAAGTTTCACAATACGCGAGCAACCCGGGTTCGATCCCTGCCAGCACCAATGAAATTGTTAATTGTAATTTTAAGTGCTGATTTACCACGTGCTCGGCGGTGAAATAAAATATCGTGAGGAAACCTGCATGTCTGAGAAATAAAAAAAAAATTATGTCGAAGACATTTCCTTGGCCTAAAACCCTCTCAGAATTGAGAAGAGGCCTGTGCCCAGGAGTGGGACGTATATAGGCTGCAACTTTACTTTTTTTTAATCAAAATTTACTGAACACAAATAACTAAATAGTATAGTAGTAACTGAACAGTAGTAGCAAGTATTGCCACTAGAGTAAATAGGATCTTAAGTATGTTTAATAATTTTTTCTCCAAATTAAATCTGTTTTTTCACTATTGCCTGTGATTAATGTTGGTAAATAAAAGGAAATGTTTGAGACAATTCCCCTATTTTATTCATATCTGATTCATTACGTACTTTTCCTAAACCATAGTAGAAGGTAATTACTAAAATTGGAAGGTGAATGAAATAATCAATATTTCCATATATCATTAACATTTTAGGAAAATTATCTCATTAAATTTATAAAAGTTAATTTGCCAAGATCCGCGTAAAAATAAAGTGGATGTATTACCTAGTTTGAAGAGGACTTCTCAAAGTACGTAAGTAATTTTTCAAGCGGATTTTAGCCAATTAATTTTTACATCTGTAATATTATTATTAGTCACAGCAAAGATACGGGATTCTTTTAATTATCTCCATATAAATATAATATAGGAGTGATAGAATATTTTTATGGAATGATATTAATTTTTTATTGTGCTGACTGTAACTTCATATTATCTCAATAAAGATTAATTTTATTGTTATTAATTTGTATTCGCAAGGACGAACACAGCTCCCGACTGACGGATGAAGCTCGAAGAAACGGATGATAGTGAAAAGAGAGAATTTTTTATTCTGATTAAAAACTACCTAATCATACTGCACATCTTCAGATGTCAATTTATTCTTTCTTTTAAAGTTACCAAGGAACTAAATAGATGTGATAGACCACCAGCAATCAAACCGCGTGTGGTTTAGGGTAGTGGTCTGAAATTGAGACATACTACATTAGGGCATGTAGAATGCTTGACGTATTCCCACTTAGAATTCATTGTTATAATGAAATTATATTATAAATTTTATTAAACAGTTTAGAAGGTTGCACTTTCGATGAAAGTTTTTTTTTAAGTTTTCCTAAATTGATTGATTATTATTAATGCAGTTTGGAATTGAAGTTAGTTGCTTTATTACATATAGAAATGCTTTCCTATTTCTTAAAGCGATAAGCTGTTCTAAATAACAGTCATTAGTAGCAAGTAGTACTAACTTTAATCTCTTATTTTTTTCTAGACTCAACAGAATTTATTCCGAGCAACCGCCACAGCGGACGTGGAATGGGTACGATACTTGTGTACAGAGGCTTTACTTTCTCCAGAATGAAGACCAATACGAGGTGGTACTGCTCAAAAACAGCCTTCGGGTGCAAAATGAGACTTCGAACTACTCCCGAGGGGCAAGTCATAGAATCACAGAACGAGCACAATCACGATCCTCCTAATTTGTTTCGATGCGTTGATGGGAAGTTACATAGATGTTAAACTTTTTTTAAACCAAATTTATACAGTTACACTAGTTTTTTTTAAAGTAGTTTTTTTTACCTTTTTTAAGATACTTGTATTGTTGTCACTAGCCCACCCACAAGGCACTTGTGGTTGGTGTTAGTACATTAGCATTATATTGGCTTAGTTTAGAAAAAAGGTAGCATACGGCTCTTGCTTTCGAGGTCTCCATGGTGCAGTGACTTGGCATTTAGTTACAGCGCTGAGGGCCGCGGGTTCGATTCTCGTACGGAACAAGTATTTGTATGGCCTACAAATAATTGTTCCGTGTCTGGATGTTTGTCCGTGTGCAATTTATGTTTCTAAACTGCCTCCACGATACTCAAAGGCAATCGTGTTCAATTTTTCGTATCAAATAGAAGACGATCTGCACATGATTGAAGTATCAGCAGAGCGATTGTGTTACTTTGTTGAGAACCTTCATAGGATCGTTTCTTTAGCTCTTGGTATTTTTATATGAATATGATAGTTGTGTCATAAGCTTATAAGTAAACACAATATATATATATACAATATGTAAAAACACACCTTTCGATCCGAAAGGGGCACATACTCGTAGGTATCGTATAAAGACATTGACCAAAAAAATGTATACATCATATAATAATATGGTGCATACGTAATATATAAATATGAAATATTATTTTTAGTAATTGTACATGTTTTTACTACAATTTAAGTTCAGAGAATTTGAGTTCGCCACACCGCGAGAAAATGCACCTCCTTTTATCGAATAGTATACCTAGGATTATGACTCAACTAACGAAATTGAAATTATGATATAGATAAATTCATGTCTTTATCTTGAATTTTCTTGTTCAAAAACACGATTGTATAATTTTGACTGGATCATAATTATTTGCGAAAACACTTCTAAAAATTACTTTAGTTAAAATTACAACGAAATTACTTAATCTATATGCTTGGAAATCACTCAAATACATTCATAACATCAATATTCGTAATTTGCTTGCTCATTATTTTGATTACTTAAATCAATTTTTTTAATATTTTAAGATTCTAAGGGATTTCTAAGCCGTCTTAATCGTCGCGGGCACTACGTAATTTTAGACCTTATGACGGCGTTTTGTAAGTTTTTATAGAAATTATGTACTAACTCGGATCAATCCGGCGATAGCCCGCTACAGTTTTCGATGTGTCTTAAATTCAGTATTTTTTTAAAATCTAGTACTTAACCATCGTCAGCTATGTAACCATGGAACGTGTGGCAGTACACGACGTCTGAACGCGCACCGTATGTTAATGCCTTGTGAGGGAATCATGCAATAAAATTTTACTACACTTTTGCGGGGTAATTTTTATCATATAGCGATACCTGAAACGCGGCTCGAACAGGGTTTTATTAATACATATTCTATATATAGCAAACAATAAATAATAGAAAAAATTAGCGTACTAGTTTTCTGTCTACTATTTTTTTAACAATTTTACCCTGTGTATCTTTAGTTGTAGAATGTAGATCCTAAAATAATTAAATAAGACCAATTTTTACGGATTCTATCGCGTTTAACTTTTTTAATTCCTGACATTTCGGGCGCTTTACAGCACCCATGGTCACGGGTAGGGGGCTGATGTCTGACGACCCAATGTCATAGTTACCCGGCTACCTTCAGTTTTTGAATGTTCATTTTTGGTCCGATCTATGCAGAATAAGCTTATAGTATATTGATATCTTGCAGTGGTATGCTTGGGTTTAATTTTATTAATTATAGGATCCCAAGAAGATATGCAACACCCATCGATCTTCTCTACCGATAATTTTTACAGTTACACAATTTTTTGTTGCTTGTGTTTTGCGTGCGATTTATATTTTGTAAAGATTTAAATTCTTTTAGTTACTTATGGAAGTATTGTCTTTACTCTTGACTATAGTTGTTTGACGTTTTATGACCTATTTAAACTCCGTAATACGTACTGTATTTGCATCTTATGATATAATTTTTACATATTACTGTGTATGAATTCGTATTTCGTTGATGTAGTGGTGAAAAAATATATTCATATCACGCCTTTTTAATCTTTTTTGTGTTTAAAAGTGTATAACATTCGAATTACGCACACACATTTTGATTTTAATTGCAATCAATTTAGACACAGCTGGACTGAACTGCCATGTAGTAAAGTAAAGTAACCCCCATATATACTTTATCTTTCGCCGCTTTCTGAGAGGCTTTTGTTGTGTATAAATCCTATAAGTATTTTTTCCGGACAGATTTCAGACAAAACCGTGAATGAAGGATTATTTGAGAAGCAAAAGAAATTAAAAATGTTTCTTAATTCATTTGTGAAGTTTGATCATCATTTCAAAATTGGTAATATAATAAATGGGCGGCGGTAGTCAGGTACCATCAAGTGAGCCGCATGCTCGTTTGCCCAATCTGCTAAGAAATATATGTATCCTTCGGTATTTTGTATTAAAAGAATGTTGAGAAAAGTCTGAAAAAATCATGAATATAACCGTAATCCAATAAATATATCAGTAACGACAGTATATGAATAATAAATATAACAGTAAGACTTAAAAAAATCGTTAAAATGCTTAAAATTTCTGTCCTCAGCTATTACCATCAAAAGGCTCGTCTGAATAATATTAAAAATAATAATCGATTTTAAGATATAGAGAGTTAAATAAATGAGCAAAAATTATGTGCAATGAAAAATTCTGCTAATACTTTGTTTTGAATAAGGTAATTAGGTGAGGTTCAATCGATACAGAACCATCATAGAGCATGCATCGATTTGATTTTTTTATTTTTTCTAAAATACCTCATCTCTCATAATTACTTTAAAATAATTATTTAGTTCAATATCTCACTAGCACAATGCTTTTTCAGATTACGTATTAATTCCGTCAGGATTTAAGAAGAACTTGCTGATGCTAGATGGGTTCACTTTCTCCGCAAGTGGATCGAAAAATCTCTGGTATTGCTCACAGAAGAAAATAGGATGCAAAGCTAGAATAAAATTACACGATGATGGAAGCATTTTGAATTCTCTTCTGACGCATGATCATGATCCACCAAACGTTCACGTCACTAGTTCTGGTAAATACGTTTTAATGCGAGGCATAAAGAAATAAAAAGTAAAATAATACGTCTCACTGTTGGGCCCTCAGAGAAAGAGAGAGATAGAGAGAGAGAGTTTCAGGGCACTCTTTTCGTAACTACTTATCAATTTGTAATTAAAATGCTAACCTATATGATTTTAGACACGGTAGTAATATAAAATACTTTTCTTGAAAAAAAATCCTTTTATTGTAAAATAAATTATCTTAAAAAACAACAAGTTTTTTTACAGTTTTAATTTAATAAGGGCTTGCCGCTACTAAATAATAAAAGCAAACAGCAGCATATATATTGCTTTTTTGTCTTAGTTTAAAGATTTTTTTCGTTATCAATTTCAAACATATATTCAAAGATAATATAAATATTTAGAACAGATGAAGGATTGGGAAACATATTTAGAATAAGTTAAAACGATTTAACGCGATCCTATCCAAATAAATGACATAGCCCAGTAGATCAGTATGCTAAAGTGATAATGGGTTGGCTATACAGGGGTATTTTGCAATAACCGGTCAAACTTGCAGAGAAGGTTTAGAATAAGTAATATAGGCAAATGGTGAAGAAAAATTAACTACAAGAAATCTCAAACATTCTGTCCTTTTTATCTTTTAAATTAAAAATGAGTGTTAACGCTTTATTTTTACTGATTTTACTGCACACGTGCACATTCTTAAGGGTCGATCGGTAGACAAAAACATTGTTGCCCATAAATCACATTCAATTTGGAATAATTTCAAATAAAAGGTCAAAGTAGACCCTACAATTAATACACTCAAAACAACTACCGACTTACTAAAAAATACTCCGAAAAATAAAATCTAGACATGAATTCGACAATATCATCATGTGCCAAACCACCGAGGTTGTATGGGTTATCGAAAATACACAAACCAAACGCTCCACTACGTCCCATAGTAAGCCAGATCGATTCACCAACTTATAAGTTGACCCAACACTTGGCAAAAATATAGTCACGACTGAGAGGACACACCAGAGCACACACAAGGGATTTCTAGCATTTTGTTAGTGAGATAAAAGACCTACATCTCGCTGACAATTAAACTATGGTCAGTTTAGATGTTCATTCACTATTCACGTGCATACCTATTGAAGACTGCATTTCAATTGGAACTAGAAAGCTAGAAGATAACAAAATGCCTACAAAATATGTAGTATTACACACACATTGCCTCACATCTGGCTATCTACTGTGGAAGGAAGAATTCTACAAGCAAGTAGATGGTGTGGCGATGGGTTCGCCTGTATCTCCCGTAGTCGACGACATATTCATGGAGGACTTCGAGGAGAAAGTCCTTCTTACTGCTACTGTAAATCCCAGATTCTACAAGCGGTACGTAGACGATACTTTCACAATTTTACCATCTGACAAAGTAACTGCATTTTTAGACCACCTTAATTTCATAAACTCGAAAATACAATGCACAATGGAATTAGGGGCAAACAATTCATTTTTTTAATAGGATAGGGTGACAAACGAGCACACAGTCCACCTGATGGTAAGTGGTTGTTGTGGCCCATAGACATATACATCTATCCTCGTTTGCGAAAAAATGTTGATGCGTTGTCACCCGTGAGGACTAAGATGGAATGCCTCTTTTCCAGTAAAAAGGGTCTCCGATTCTCTACACTCACCATACGAAACACAGCAATGTTAAGCTGCTATTTTACGCTGGTGTGCTGTGAGAGCGTGGTCCTACCCCGGTCGAGCCGACCCATTCGTGCTACAACTATACTACTAATATAGCTGCAGCATGGCTCTACCACGTACGAGTGAAAATTTCGGGAATCAAGGAAGTGACACAACATTACTATTTAAAAATGTATTTATTGCTTTTCGAAGTATTCTCCGCGAATTTTGACACATTTTTCCAT